GGCTTTGGCTTCCTTAACATTTCAGGGCGGGGAGGAATCCAGAGTTTATCCTCTCGGTTAGGACATATCAGATGAGCTAATTGCAACTCACAGAGAGTCTGATCCAGATGAGTCTTCTCAATAAACAGTCCTGTCTCTCTTGTTGAGACTCATCCTAAACTGTTTAGCTTCAAAAGTACTTCAAAAGCCTCCAGGCACCAGATCAAGATTTTGACTTGCTGCTCTGACTAGGATCTGGGGATCGCTAGCATGCTTCACCCCAAATTGATGAAGTCCTCCTCCAGTGGTTTCACTTAGGTGACTTCTTGGATAATTGTCTGCTGTTGTTTGGAAGCAGAATGACCATTTATTTCTGACGATTTGTTTTTTCTTTTCTCAAATCAGCTTGATGACTCTGGATTGATGAAAGCTTCGAGAAAGGTTCATAACCATATCCAGACTCACAACTGCCCATAACTTTTGTATCGAGATCTTCAGAACATTCTTTTGAGCGGGGCAAGGTGTGCTCGCTCTCAAGAGTAGCGTTTCCCAACCGTGGCAACTTGAAGATGTTGTGGCTGGGGAATCATGGGAGTTAAAATCCCACAAAAGTTGCCAAGGATGAGACACCCTGCCTTAAAATCTGGGTGATGAGGACTTCAGTAGAATAAGGGGACCAAAGTTTAAAAAATGTATCTAGCCATATATAGCAAGGACTGTACCAAACAGTAATAGCAATAGCACTTATATATTGCTTCACAAGCAGTTTGCAGAGTCAGCCTGTTGCCCCCAACAATCTGCTGACCTCAGAAGGATGAAAGGCTGAACCTTGAGCCGGTCAGGATCGAACTCCTGGCAGTGGGCAGAGTTAGCTTGCAATACTGGATTCTAACCCCTGGGGCACCAGGACTTTTTGTCTTTGGCTATATGTCTCTTATGGCTCTGGGATTCCCTCAGATGTTCTATAAATTTTTTGCAAAATTTCTGTTCCATGGGAGTCCTGGACTTTTGTGAATATTCTGTAAGCTACCCCATTTGAGGCGCCTTGGTTCAAAAATTGTCGCCCTAAGATGCACCATGTCACCCAGTTAAAGATTACATGCTGACAAACTGAAGAATTTTAATAGAATATAGTGATATGTGTGTGTGTGTGTGAGATATGTGTATGTATTGTGCATGTATATGCATGTATGTAGTCACAGCAGATGGCAGCACTTAGCCAGCCTAGACTGATGTCGGAAAGGCTAGACAGAGTTCGGGCCAGTCGTGGCTTCCATCGCCTGTAACTGCCTTCACAGGTGCATAGTTGGATTGGCTTCCCCACCATTTATTTACCTTCATGCAGAAATAGACAGTGGGAAGGAATTCCATGGGCTTTTCTGGGCTGCATTCGGAACATTTCAAAGAAAACAAATGCTTTTTCCATCATTGATGAACTTGGGAGATGGGAGCAGGGTTGTTCTGAATATAATAACCTGGATACAAACAGATAATTCAGTTGAAATAAACATATTCATTTCAGTGTATGTGATAGTTGGTCTGCTAAAATATGGCCTGGCCAAAGTAATATATTTACATAATCCTGCTAAAAGTGTAGCAAAAAGAGAGAGAGAGAGAGAAAAAATGAGTTGCAGCAATTTTTTAATGAAAATTAGACAGCCCAATCTCAGAGTCTCTAGATTAGAGGGGCAAGATAAAACGTAAATCAGCTTTCAGACACAGCTTTATGTCCTGTTTAATCAGGTAATCTTTTATAAGCCAGGAACAATCATAATTCAGTTATGGTTTCCTGTTTGAAATAAACCATGATTTCATAAATGAAATAGATTTGATCATAACCAGAGAGAGTTGGACAAGCAACACCACATCTTCATGTGGTGTGCAGAAGTATAATGTATGTGTAGTCGTATATAAAGGTTTAATTCATATATATAAATCCATGGTGTAATTGTTGAGTTTTAGTTTCATATATTACATAAATCCACAATTGAAAACTCATTTATATCTTAATGTGATGTCTGAATTTAGTTATTGTGATTTATTCAAGAAACTCTTGAAACCAAAGTGGGCATAAATTTAATCTGTGTCTGAATATACACATTGTCTGGATTCCCATATGCCAAGCCAAAATAAACTGCTTTATGATTTAACACAGTATATGAGTTTTGTTCCTTTTTAATGTGGCCCTTTAGTCATTGAATTAGGTTAAGCATTTCTTTCACTAAAACAAAGATGCCTTTATCTTGATTGAAGCTTAATTTTAGAATCAAAAACTTACATTTTCTAGCTCTTTTCAACATAGTCACTAATGAAATTTACTAAAAATAAAATTATTAGTATTGGGGTCTGTTTCTTTTCTCCATCATTGCTAGTTTAGCACGTTCAAAAGTACAAACACAAATTTTGGGACATTTATTACTACAGATATTTATTACTACTTTAAAAGCAATATTGTTATCTTCCAGAGGTTTGTCACTTCCATTGTTATGCTTGAATTGGGCTATACAATACAGCCACACCTAGGACTTTAACAAAGTAAAGCCTTTAAGTAAAATAATTATTGTTATAGGAATGGGTGTTCTTGCTCGTTGTATAAATAGGCAAGTTGCTGGCAGTTTTGGTATAAGGCAGGGGTCAGCAACCTCTTGATTCTGATTCTTGGGTTTTTATTATTTACTTGTCTCTGTTTTAATTGGGATTTTCTTTTATTCTTGTATGTTTTTAACTTGTGTTCACCGCCCTGAGTCCTTTGGGAGAAGGGCGGCTTATAAATAAATAAATAAATAAGGCTCTTTCACCCCTCTGCTGCAGCTCCCTATCACTCAAAATATGTATCACAACCGCCAATGTGTGACACTCACCAGCACACGAGTTATTGAGCTTTTCAACCTCTGGTAGGCCAACTATGGATAAGTCCAAGAAAAGAAAAGTTTCAGAAGAAAACAATGTTTAATTCTAACTACATAGGCTAGTTTTGTGGCCGCTCAAGAAATAGTCAGGCACAGAAAGGGTTTTGTGGCTCCCGGAGTTTTCTTTTCTGTGGGAAACGGGTCCAAATGGCTCTTTGAGTGTTTAAGGTTGCAGACCCCTCTGGTATAAGGGAACTCCAGCATAATTAGGTGCCAAAAGGTTTTGGAAATTGATGCCTTTGGCTTATCCAAAACATTCTGTCATCTGATTTGAAAACTTCAGTGGATGTTTTGTTAGAGAATTTAGAACTGAGTTCGTTTGAAATTTGTATTTGCAGCCCATGTTGAAATGAGCAAGTTGTTCAAATGTTTGGAGTTTTCCCTTCTGGTTTATGAGGTTTCAAGTCTGCTGTATTCAGTGTTCCCTGGAATTGTATGCTTGGTGCAGCTATCTCAGTTTGCTTCATGCTGTGGATTGAAAACACTGGATTTGCTCAAATAAGAATTATCTATGCTTTCTCGCTGATCAGTTTTTTTCACTAAGAAATCCCTAATTTTGTCATCCCACTTGCAAAATAAGTAAAGCTGACGTAATTGCATCCTTTACTTTTTGACAGTGAAGCTTTATTCAAGGATGGTGAGCTTGCATAATGGTTCTTTAATGGGTCAGTGCCCATGACATTTTAAGAAAGACTCCTCAGCCCTGCAAGGATTCTTCTCCCCGATAACTCACTCTGATTTTCCCACCAAAGAACAACCTTTCCAGTGACCCAGGATAAAAAGAAATATAAATAGCACGTGGCCTTGGAAAGATAACTTTGTTGGTTACTAGAGTAGAATAGAATAGAATAGAATTCTTTATTGGCCAAGTGTGATTGGACACACAAGGAATTTGTCTTTGGTGCATATGCTCTCAGTGTACATAAAAGAAAAGATACGTTCGTCAAGAATCATAAGGTACAACACGTAACGATATTCATAGGGTGCAAATAAGCAATCAAATCATACTAGGAAACAATATAAATTGTAAGGATACAAGCAGCAAAGTCACAGTCATGCAGTCATAAGTGGGAGGAGATGGGTGATAGGAATGATGAGAAGATTAATAGTAGTGCAGACATAGTGAATAGTTTGACAGTGTTGAGGGAATTATTTGTTTAGCAGAGTGATGGCGTTGGGGAAAAAACTGTCCTTGTGTCTAGTTGTTCTGGTGTGCAGTGCTCTATAGCGTCATTTTGAGGGTAGGAGTTGAAACAGTTTATGTCCAGGATGCGAGGGGTCTGTAAATATTTCCTATTTCCTATTGCTTAAATAGTATGTACTATTGCTTACTATTGCTGTTAATATTATAATTAGCTATAGTTTAAAAACTTTTTTGCTATGGGTTTATGAAGTCTGCCAGAAATATCTACAGCAGCACTTTTTAAACATTTCTTGGAGTTTTTCTTGCATTGCCAACTCTATATTTATTATAAACTGTAAGCTTTTTGGAATTTGGCTCTGTTCTCAAATACTTTTGCAGAGCACTGTTCACAATAGCAGACTTCTTGAAGTGTATCCCTAATATTGGTAATGGCCCATGCACAAAAGTAGAGATTTTACCTTGAGATTAGAGAAGCTACAGTATCTTTTGTCTTTGCATTACTGCTACTCAATCTTTTCACTTAGCAAGGTAGCCTAGATTTTTATCTTAGATTGCATTCTTTGTGAATGAATGTAGACAATACCTCTATATCTGTCAAAAATATTTACTTCCTGGTTATCTTTGGTTGTACTCATTTTCTGCAGATTCTCATCATGAAATGAGATGAACAAGATAGCACTTCCTCAGCTCTAAGGAATTGGGCTCATAGTAAATTCAAACTCATTGTGTGATCTGAGTCAGCTGATAGGAAGTCTAAGTAGCATTTATTTGGGAAATAGTCATCCTTTATGCCTTGCATCTCAGTCCTTAAAATAATGAGGCTTCCTGTCCCTAAATAGTTGAGAAATCATGCTCTCATTTTTCAGTCACCTTGACTACCAGTTTGTTGATTGGTGCTGAGGCTTAATTCACATGTTGGGTAAAATCCAATAATGAAATCAACCAGGTTTTTCCTCCCTTTTTTGCAGAATTCTGAACATTCTCAAAGCATCCTCTGAAGTGATAGATACTGTACAAAACAGGAGGTATGTAAACAGCAGAAGCAAAGTTCCATTACAAAGGTTCCATTTGAGTGACTTTATATGTCGCTCACTCTTGCTTAAATGTTCAAACAAAAAATAAAGTGTGAAAGAAACAGACCTATATAATCCAGTTTTGCCTTTTTTTTTACTTTTTAAAGCATTTTTTTTACTATCTGTTCGCCCGAACCGGAGCGAACCGGTATCATTTCACCCCTGGGACTACCTGTATTGGGAAAGCACCTGGAATCCAGGATTTGCTCCTAGGTGAATTCGGCCTGACATGTCTCATGGACAGCTGATTAGATAAAGGAGGAATAACTGAGCTCGGCCACCAACTTCCTCAATGTAGCAGAAGCAGAAAGAGGCCCCAAGAAGTCCACACAGTGTCCTGGACTACTTGTTCTGCAGGATTTGAAGTTTATCCTCAGCTCACTTGATGTGGGCCAGTTTACGTTTGGGTAGTTTTGTAAGAGGAGTCCTTTGTAAGCACCTGTGTAAATACCATTTAATGCTCAAGGATATGTAAACAGGAAATAATGTTTTCTTTGCTTCTGACGGAGAATGGAATGCTTCCCATCTTTTCTGTCCAAGTTCCCTTCATTTTGTAATTCCAAATATGGTTATCTGTAATTATGGCAAAGTTGTGCAATAATAATTCCCGATGTAACGAAACAACTACAGTGAGACCTTCCTCTTCCGTTATTTTGAAATCATCCACAAACACCTGAGAGTCTTTATTAGCGTTTATTAGAGAGTTTTTATAACCGTCATAAAATGAATACATCTGGGCATGTCCTATTCTGCTTAGTAATGATACTTGTGCAATGGTATATTTAAAACTAAACGTTATATAAAGGGAGGCGGGTAACACATCTTTTTGAATTCTGGAGATGCTGAATAATATATTGGTAGCAGTTCCAGAGGTTTCTTGAGATTTGTTTTACAAATGTAAAAATAAAGTTTTGTTATATTACACTACCATGTTTATAGATATTTATAACCCAACCGGTACAGGAATCTTGGGCTCACAGTATGCTGTTTAATGTAGTTATTCAAAAAATGTCAGCAAGACTTAATAGGTTACTTTCTCCATTCCCAACCCTAGTAATGTTGCATTTTGCTACCTGACCTGAATTTGCAGAGGATGGGGATTTTGAAGTTTTTAAAAAAATTACAGCTAAGATATCCTTTCAGTTATTTCTATAATGTCAGAATGGGGAGGTTATGCAAAACACTTTATTAATAAGTGGTGTCCCTAAGCTGGAGGAAGTTGGGGCACTTTGCAATATTCCTGCCACCCACTCTCCAGCTGCACATCTTTTATTATGGTACGTCTCTCCTGAAATGAACCTCCAGTTTTGCTGATAAGAGGAATCTTCCACAGTTACTGATTATCTATTTTACATGGACCCAGGGTCCTTTGCTTAGTGCTATGGAGACGTTGATCAGGTGTAAAGAAAGGGAGGAAGCCTCTGTGTATCCAGCGGTCCCGTATGCAAACTGTCTCCTACTTAGCACAGAAAATAGCGTTCATTTACGGAATGGCAACCCATTTTCGTTCTGGGTCCCCCTGAGCGCCAACAAGCTTTCTCCAACTGCCTGTCTGATGGGCAGATGCTGGCAAAGCGTTCTTGCTTTCTGGGGTGCTGCTGAGGTACCCTGGGACAGTGATTGGCAGTGCTACAAGGTTAACCACCCTTTCGTTTCCATGCTTCCGGTTATTTATTTATTTATTTATTTATTATATTTCTATACCGCTTTTCTCCCGTAGGACTCAAGGCGGTGTACAGTCAAGAAAAATGTAGATACACAAACATCATAAAATTGCTAATTAAAATTATTTTTATAACATAGTTTGGCCCAATTAAATAGAACCTAAAATTAGATAACATTTTAAAAAACATTCACAAAATGATGAGCACATTGTAAGCCGCCCTGAGTCTTCAGAGAAGGGCGGCATATAAATCAAATTAAAAAAAAAAAAAAGTTAAAAGCGTTTTGTATTTCTCCTGCTAAACCAACGGAGAAGAAGGAAGCTCTTCTGCGTGTTTTAGGAGAAACAGGGATGAAGCATGCAGGAGAAAACAAATGTGAATGAATAATGAGTGAATGAATAAATGAGTCCTTTATATGAAAAGAAACATGCATAGGAAAACAACTTTTTAAACGGTGAGTGAGATTTTGCAGGAAAAGGGAATGTAGGTGCAAGGTCTTACTACCTATTATTTACCTAACGTGCAAAGTGGTAAACAAGTGAAGCATACAGATCTATATTCAGCAGTCCAGGTGTCCAAATAAGTGTTCCCTTTGTGGGAACCTCTGTTTTCAAATAAGGAGAGGTGAGACATCATTGGCTATTCGGCCATTGAGCAAATACCAAAGGGTGGGAATGCAGCTTGACAATAGGGCTGCATTGAAGCATGCGGAGTTCTTCCAGGTTCTGCTCTGGCAGGTAACTGTTGCCACTATAGCAGTGTTTCTCAACCTTGGTAGCTTGAAGATGGGTGGACTTCAACTCCCAGAATCCCCCAGCCAGCAGTGCTGGCTGGGGGACTCTGGGAGTTGAAGTCCACCCGTCTTCAAGCTACCAAGGTTGAGAAACACTGCACTATAGGATCCCTTTTGTTGGATCCAGCCATTATCAGATGCAGATCAAAAATACACTTGGTGGTATTTATGGTTTCCTTAGTATATCATCTGAACTAGGGACACTTATTTCTCTCCCTCTCTCAGAAGCTAGCCACACACCAAACCATGGTATTAGTGTGTGCATGCACACACATGTCTAGTTTTCACCTTGTATGAACTGAGATCGTTGTGGTTGATTTCATAAACTAAACAGAATACGACGTCGTGTGATGCACAAATCTTAACTTGCATACACATCTATAAGCAGCGAAGCTTTCTCCAGAACAAGATTTTGTAAAGTTAACAGCTTTACTCTAGATAAAAAAGAATGAAGGAGTCATACAACATTAGATCTGGAATGCAGTGTTAGTGAACAAGGAAAAAAAGAGACAAAGAAGGAAAAACAGTTTAAAAAAACCCAAAGGGGTACAAATGTTAGTGAAGTGGGAAAAAAAAATTGCAAATACAGATAGTCCTTGACTTACAATCACAATTAACCCTAAAACCTCTGCTGCTAAGCGAGACAATTGTTAACTGAGCTTTGTCCCATTTTACGACTTCTCTTCCCACCGTTGTTAAGTGAATGATTGCATTTGTGAAATTAGTAACACGGTTGTTAAGTGAATCTGGCTTCCCCCATGACTTAGTTTGTCAAAAGATTGCAAAAGGGGATCCCATGACTGCAGGACACTGCACCCGTCATAAGTATGAGCCAGTTGCGAAGAGTCAGAATTTTGAACCCATGACCATGGGGAGGGCTGCAGTGATGTGAAAATGTGAAAAACACTCACTTTCTTCAGTGCAGTCGTAACTTTCAACACTCACTAAATGAACTGTTGTAAATCAAGGACCCTCTGTAGTCATTTCGTATTTTGCCATCCTTGTGTGCAGGTCGAAAGAGGCAAAATATGAATGGGTTTTAATTGTTTTTAATGTTTTAATTTTTAATGTTTTTATATATGGTTTTTAAATGCATTGTAAGCCGCCTTGAGTCTTCAGAGAAAGGCGGCATACAAGTTGAACAAATAAATAAATAAACAAATAAATAAATAAAATAAAACCAGATGGCCTTGCCTATTTTTATATCTGGTATCTGGCACTCTTAACAATACAGCTGTAAATGCCACAGTTTTTATTAATGAAACAATCCTTACATCTCCTGCCTCTGGCTATGCACCTTGGGCATATTATTTTTCTGGGATTTATTATTGCACAGATTAACCGCTAAATGCTCTAATAACTGCAGGAAGTTAATCATAAGGCCACATTTAAATTACTATGAATTTTTAGGAAAGGGGAATGCTTGATGTGGAAAAGAATGTAACTTTGGGTTTTATAGATTAGATTGATAGATCTTTATAGAAACAACTTGTCATATTATTATGGAAAAACAAAAAGTTGTGACGATGCTAATGTCTTATTTTACTGCAACAGAGTGTTTTGGAAGTCAATGCTTCTTTTTCTTTTCTTTCTCCTACCCTTCCTCACTTCTCTTTCCCCTTTCCCTTCCTTCCTCAATGTTCCTCTGTTTACTTTTATGTTTTGTATTGTAAGAAGTTAGCACCCACCCCTTTCCTAGAGGAATGAAATATTTTGGGAAATATTAAAAAGGTAGACTATCATGTTTCCCTGGATGAGAAATGGAGAAGTATGTTATAAAGAGGAAGCAGCTCCCATCTTCCTGCCCCCACCCTTTGTCAATGGGCCAGAGGCAGAAACTCAATCCTTGTCAAAGGACCATCATCTGCAACACAATAGGACCCATCTAGCAACAGAAACTAACACAATAGGACCCATCTAGCAACAGAAACTAACATAATAGGACCCATCTAGCAACAGAAACTAACACAATAGGACCCATCTAGCAACAGAAACTCACCACATGGCACCTGGGAAGATTACATCAGCCAGCAAGGCTAGCTAAGACCCCCACCCCCTGGGAGTCTGACAACCAATCAGGATACTCTTTCTGGGCCCCCAGGAAGTTCAAAGCCAGAGAGGGCATAAAACCCGGGGACTCAAGCTCCATCTCGCCCCTTTTTCTATTCAGGAACTCAAACCAATTGATCCTGTCCACCATTAAACCATCTTTCCAAGCAGTCTCCATGTTTCCAGTGTCTTTTTCCCTACTTGGAGCAGAACCCAGAAGGATATTTCTTCCTACAGTATTTTATAATACTTAATAATTTAATTTTTAAAAATGTTTGAAGGATCCTCCTGTCATTTTTCGTGAGGGGGCACTTGTGGGAATTTGAAAGCTTCCTGTGTGCAGTTTTCAGATAGTGGCTGATGTGATGGACACCCCCAGTCATAAAAGAGACACTTGCTTCAGGCAGAACTAAGAACTGGAAACACTCCTCCGGTTTATTATTACT